ACATCCGTGCTTGTGAGCGGAATCTTTCTTTTCACTCAGTTTCAGCCGTAACTCTTAAGTGTAACGTCAGGATCCACTGCTTTGTTAAGCCAGGCCGTTCATAAAGCACAATTTCTCACTTATTTAATACCTTAGATAATGAGAGCTTTGTAGGGTCAGAGGAGAGGGAAAAAGTGTCATAAAATTTATGCCTTATGGACAGTACTACAGGAGAAATCTGGATCAAAACATTGGTCAGAAAAACAGGAAGAGATGGCAAAGCCCTACCATGAGAGAAGCCAGCAGGGATTTAACTGTGGACCTGAGTGGTGCTGGAGTCTTTCAGAGAGGAGTATGGGGCATGCTCATTTTGTGAGACTGAACCTACAGATAGAGCCATCAGCCTAATCTCTAGTACGCTGCAATGTCCAACCAATGCTTTTGGGGCAACTGGCCTACGTGATTGACACATGCAGGGGCTGGGGATCCTCCAGATTACCTCAAAACAGATATTTATGCTGGCTGGCTGCCATAGGCAAGATGATTGCTTCAAGGACTACACCTAGGGAGGGCAAGGATATCCTTAGTTCTCTAACTCAGGTTCATTGCAACTCGGATGGATGCTCCTCATCAAAATTTTCTTCCCTCGCCCAATGGAACCGTGTGAGTTCCTCCACTGCGCTAGGCAATGTAGGGGCAGGAACACTGCTTGCCCTAGGTTGCACACCTCTGCTCTGAAATGCTGGCTCTTCATGGCTCCAGGGCTCAGTCACAGATGTGTTCTGCCACAGGCACCCACTGATGGGGGTGAAAGAAGGGAAGGGGATTTTAAAGTGTGGATCTGCACATAGAGAACAATGGAAAAATTAATAGAAAAACATTTTTAAACTATCTAGGCCACTATGAATTTAGTCTTCAAACCTAAAATATTATCCAAACTTTTTCTTATAATTATTTGACCAGCTGGCACAATGAAAAAGGTATAGCACTACAGTTTGCCAGCTACCTCACGCCAAGCACCTCCTGACACTTAGGTTCAAAAAATGTATTGTGGGACTGATATAAACATCAACTTTTCTCAACAATTCTCTGCACATCTCTGTCACCTATTACAGTTTTGTGAGTCAAAGAGAGCAGTCAGAAACTCAGCCTATAGGATTGAGAAGGATTAAAAAGGGTGAACCTACAGTACTTTATTGACCTAGGTCCTCACATTAACCTGATCTGATCCTTTAATTACTATGAATAGAATAGGGCTTACAGTCCTACTTAATAACACCCCACGCTTTTTATTCTATAAAGAGCTTTCCTATTCATGTGCCCTCTTCTTTTCAGATTTACAGATTTGTAGCAAGAAGGAATGCATGTTTTTTTTCCGGCACTCCGGGGGAGAAAGCTACCTAATGTGTATGTGTGGGATACTGGAAAGCATAACTGCAACCTTTCTGTTTTGAAAAAAGTTATTTGAAAATCAGTCCTCATTCAAGTTATTTGTCAGGAAAAGGTGAGAGTAGAAAAGGCAACCAAAACATAAGATATTAATTTTATAAAGGTAGTAGAAGGAACTTAACATAGTTTATATGTTAATCGGAACCGTAATTACATCAGATGCTTACTTTTCCCCCTTCCCATGCACATTCTCCTTCCCCATAGGCTCAGAGAATCAGCACATTACTGTAATCTAGGCAGACTGATATATATACATATGATCATATATATGGGTGATATATGATACTATAATTAATAACTGGCATTTTCTCTGAATTCAGGAAAGCGGCTGCAGCTCACTGATAAGATACTTTATGAGAATAAAATCAAAGCTAAGCATTAATAATTATAATTTGTTGTGATTGAGGACAGTGAGACATTTTATTTCTTGAACTGAACTGAAAGATGAGCTGGACACTGGGTTAAAAATGGCAAGGGGATACAGGTTGGGTTTAGGAGCCTAAGATATTGTGCTAAGAGCGTTACATGAAGTAGAAACAGTCTCCCTAATTGTTACATGAACATATTGTACCTACCATTTTGTGTAGATCCACCCTGAGGCCAGGTTGAGGGAAAAATCCATATTTGGTTTTGAGTTAAAGATGGAATGAGTGACAGTTAAGAATCAGAAAATTTAGGGATTTTTTGGGGGAAAGGAAGGGGAAAGAGAAGGAAGAATCTGACCAAAAAATTGGTTGAGGTGGAAGAGAGAACCCAACTGAAATCTGCTCTTCCTCTTTCAGTCATCACTTCCTGTATGATTTATCTGAGTATACAATCCTTTGGCTGTTGTAATTATAAAAAGATTACACTTGAATACTGAATTTGGAAGAGGGTGTTGTAGATATTTTACCATTTGGAAGTTTTTCTGTTTATTAAGGAACAACTATTTCAGCACTATTTTAAGGTTAAAACTTGATTAACATGCAATAATGAAGCTGGTCTAATTTTATTTTACTAAATTTACTGTAAATAACAGTTAGTAAAATAAATACTGAAAGAATACAGCATCTGACAGAGAAGGCTTATTTAAAGTGGTTTATTATAGTCCCTTAGCTTTCCCAAGACAGGTATTGTTAGGAGCCAGTCTGATTAGTCTATCAAAGACACGCTGCCTCTTTCTCCCCTACCTTCCTCTCTCTTGAAGATAGAATAGTCTTTACTATGCTTTTAAAGAACGAGGATTTAAATTGAAGCAAACCAGTGCCGAAGCATTCTTCTTATTGACATTTTATATAAAAATGATTGTTAAAATTCTAACCCACAGACAGACAGACAGACAGACAGATATATATAATCCCTACTTTAGCATTATAGTCTTTCTCTCTATTGCTACTCTATATGTCTGTAATCTCAAAAGACCATTTATTAGATGTGAAATATTGTATGTTCCTGTAGCCTCCTTTCTTGATTGTGTTCCCAGGGCCTTGTTGGGCAATTGATTACTCTGTGCACAATCCTGCTGCTTTAGGTATTAATGGCAAAACCCCCATTGTCTCCAGGATTTAGGCCCTTTATGATTTTTTTGAAGTTCATTATATTTTGCAAGCAACTGAGTTTAAAATCCCTGATTGGAAAGACTTACTTCTCACATCTTCCTGTGAAATGTTTTACCTTTAGAATGAAAAAGCATTCAGAAACTCTGGAATGGTTTTGATCTGTAGGATTAAAAGAAATCAGCACTGAAAATGGATTCACATCATTTTCTTTTTGGGTACCAGATCCTTGGGGGAGGGGAAGGGGGAGGAGAGAAAAAAAAAACCAGCTGATTTAATATAAGTGGGCTGAATTCCCTCTCCTGGTGGGTCTTTCAAACCTCCAGTTTCTGTTCTTGCCATTGCTCTGTGAATATCCCCCTCCCCTTTTTGTTAAAAGGCATTTACTGTGAAAGCCTACAAAAGCAGCTTTCAATCTGATTAAGCTTCTCCTGCAAAAATATACAAAAATAGGGATACATTTGGGTCAGTGTCACCCCACTATTCATCTGCCTCAATTTCCCTAGGCTGCTTACTAAGGATACTGCACATGAGCATGGAAGGCTTCTGCAGCCATTAGGGGCTCCCCAAAATTTCATTTATGAAATTCCAAGGTGCAATAATTACCACGGCCCAAGAACAAATTGTCAGAAGGGCCTGAGCAGCTTGGTGTAGCTGTGTGCTCACTGCTGGAAGGTACCAGTTTTCCAGCCTTACCTGGAGTGAGCTGTTGCTTAATACACATGGAGGTAATGGTTGTCTCCTGAAATCCTCGGTGATGTCTCTGTCTGTTCTTCCTTGTGCAGAGGTTCAGTGTCTCATACTCCCAGTTGTGGATCGACTTCCGGAACGTGCTCACTAATTGGCCCTTGGTTAAGGCAAACCATGCCCCATCTCAGTCTACCAGTAAAATGGGTATAGAATAATTGTTTCCAGTAGGTTTGTGAGGGAGGTTCAGCACCTATAAAAATTCTCTGGTGTTGACTTTTCTCAACATCAGCATCTGCATCTCCCTCTTGCCCATTTATAGAAATACATATAATATTTGTCTCCAGCAGATTAATATATGTGTGAGATGTTTGTGCAGCAATTTACAAAGGTGTTGTGATAACACATGTAAGCATTTAAACTGTATAGTGCTGAAAAATAAGCTTGAACTGGAACTGTGATTTGTTTCTGCCCTTGCAAGAGTTTTGTAACTTTTCTTAATAATTTTTGTCTCTAGTACACAGCAATGTTGAAGTGTAATCTTTATTACTAAATGAATGAATGACTGGTGTTGCTTAGGGCACAGACTTAAAAACCATTTTCACACGAAGCCCAAGTATTGTTACTGTTGCAGTTGTCCTGTTGTTTTATTAGCTCTGAACAATGTTGGACTATTCCTGAAATCTAATAATCTCTGTAAAGTGTCTTCCCTCAGTAGCGTCTTTGAGAATGGAGAATAGATTCTAAAAACACAATAAAAGCATAAAAGAGAATATTATCATAATCGCTATAAAAAACTAGAAAAAAAATCCAAACAAATGAAAAAGAGGCAGACTGCCTAGGAAGAAAAAAGAATATATACTAAATGCTAATTTTTAGTACTTTTGTGTGTATATTTGTGATTTAACCTGCTAAGAGCCATGTTAAATACAACATAGGATTTGGTGGAAATTTCAGTCCCAACAGCACACTCTTTATTTCTGAGGAGAAAAAGAGAGAATTAACCAAAAAATATGATATGTTTTACTCAAGTTATTAGTTGAATTATAAAAAACATATTTTGTGGGTTTTTTTCCCCTAATGGTCATCAGTTGCCATCATACACATATAAAAGGAAAATGGTGGTTTTAAATATTATAACTGTTCTGTATATTCCTCATATTAACTGAGAGCCTTATGATCTCTGAAGAGCAGAAATGGCCCTCGAGACAAAAGCGTCTTTCCAGTGTGTGCGCGTGTGCATGCACGCGTGCATGTCTGCCTACACATATATAGATATGTGTGTGCACTAGGCAAAGAGCCTCACACGTTTACAACTGGAGAACAAACTCTTACGGTTTTCCTTTGATTTTTAAAAGCAGAAAAGATGAGCACTAGCCTCAGAATGTCAGGACGTTACAGCTCTTTTGCTATGTAAGTGGAAGATATATTTTTTTAATTATAATCTTTTATACCAGTGACTTTTACATGAGGCAACATTCAGATGTTTTATGTTTCACATTTATTTAAACAATCATTGTCTCTCTCAAAATATTTTCCCTGAAACCTTATGTACAGGTAATAAAATCCTTGTACTGGAGCAGGTTCATCTGATAATAGCAATACAAGGTTGTCTGATTATGCCAAAATGATACTGGATAAAGCAGATTTTATTAACTGACTTTGAATGAAATCCGTAACATCTATGATCTTTCTCCTTTCCAAATGAACCGAAAGCTTCATTAGAGATCAGAAACCCTTTTTTAAAGGATACATGCTAGAGTATAAAATACATTTAAATTGAAGGCAAGGAACAAATTATAACCATTAAATTTCTTTGCCAGAAATTCTACTCTCTGCTCTGCCTCCTGCCACTCCTCAATGTTAGGATCTTGATGCAGCATCTACATGCTAACACTTCAGGCAATTCCCTCCCCTATTTTAAGTAGTTCGAGAGGTAACCTCAGTTCACAGAACATCCTAAAAGAAAGGTTTAGTGCTGCTGGATGCCATACTTACCTTTTCTTCTTGTGTCTTTGTAAAGGTCAGTAGTACCTAGGTTCTACCATCCATATTAGGTTTCAAAGCACTACTCTTACCGGTGCTTCTGATGTGCATTTCACCTTAGGAAAATACTTTTTCCAGGAGGAATTTTGCCTGGTATGTTTCTGTGCAGGAACAAAAAGATGAGTGTTGTTAGCTATGTTCCTGTAGAAACAAGGTTTTTCATCCCTCTGTTTGCAAAGGCAGTTACCCAGTAGGCCTGCCAGTAACTTTTCTCCCTCTTTGGCTGTCTGCAGGATGACATGTCAGCACGAGCTGTGGGCAGAGTTGTATGCAGTCCTTTGCTTGCCAAAAGGTTGCTTTTTGTAGGAGCATTTTGCCTGACTCTTTCTGGTTTTGTAGGGAAAACCTCAGCAGAAAGAAGGCACACACTGGGGAGTGTCAATCTTTCTTCCTTTGGCTCTGTCACAGTCCCATTTCTCCCCCTTGGAAGGGAATCCAGCTTCCCATTTAGAACTTTCACAGGACTTCTCTATGCCCAGACTGAGGAGGAACTTCAGGTATTTCAGGGAATATTTCCTTCCTGAAATAAGAAGAGGCACTTTGCTCTGAGCTATTTGCCATTATGCACAGCAGATTTTCCAAGCAACGTTGCTTGTTGTTCTCAGGCTACTTTTTCCCAAATATTTTTAGCAATTCAGTAAATTTCTATTTCAAAAGATTATATTTGAAAAGATGAGAGTAATTGATTGTTATTTTGCTTAAAAACAAGCCCAAAAAGCCTTATTACCACTGCAGCAATTTTAATATAAATATTTTGGTCAAAGCAGTCAAACACCTAATATTCTGCACTTTAGCAAAAAACAGACTTCTCCCATACAACAAGCATTAAAAAAAAAAAAAAGCCAATAATTTAGGGGAATCCATATTTAAAAACATACAAACAAATGCAAACACCTAAACTTTGGTTTCAGTCCGTGGTGACTAAAAATAAAGCCACTGTGGGGAAAGTGTCTTGAACAATTTAGTGAAAACGGCTGTGTTTGTCTGGAACAGAAAACTTTGAAAATCGCTTTATTTTAAACACTACGGTTATTTAAATCACAAGTAGCTATCTTACAATTGACAAAAAATGAGATTGGAAGAAGAATTTTGCAACCCTGGCATTTTAAATTCGGGACTATCCATTTCACATGATTTCTGACCTTACTTAAATACTGATTTCTCAACAAATTCAACAAAATGCTGGATTTTGCAAATGACATGCAAGAAAATATGAATTCTGAGTGCCTGCTGCAAAGGTAATTTATTTTAGTGAACTGGATTATTTTGATAAAAATAAGCTATTTTCAGCAGGGAAATAGTTGTTGTTTGTTGCTCGAAAAATGTATTTACTTTAAGAAAACTTATTTTCTATTACATAATGCAATTCCTTCAATTTTGAGTCTTTCTACGCTGCCTTGCAAATATTTTGCTCGCTTGTGTTAGATTTAGTACAGCCACACAAATTTGCAGTCTTATATATTTCCCTTAAACTAATTTCTAGGGCCTTATTCTATAGCTCCTGAATATGATTTTAGCAATAAATTAAGAGCTTCTGAAATAGACATTGTTAAAAAAAACCAAAATGACAATATGGTAAGAGAAGTCATAAACTACTTCATCTGCCTAAATTTCTTTAGATACCACTGAGTCCCTGCTATAAATGGAAACAGTAGCGGCCACGCTTGCTTTTACCAGACAAATATTTTTTGGACACTCAGGAGCTAAGTTTGTCTTTAAAGCTGCAGAATTGCCCTATTTGGAGACCAGATTGTAGTCATCGAAGGGTTAAAGCCAGTTTTGAATTTAAGTTAATCCACATGCTAATCTATTTTGAATATCCCTGCATAACTACCATCATATTTTTAGCAGCACAGTTTGTTGTTCCAATTGCCAGCTATTTTTGATAATACAACAAAATAGGGCAGAATTTAGTTTTAAGGTTTATTTTGGCCTCTAACATTAAAAAGGGCAAAATCCCCCCTTGTCCAAGGATATTTTTGATTTGAATGGTCTATACCTGCCCTCTGCAATCAGCCAATTATTGTAAGCAGTGTGACGGGCCCAAGGTATTAGTGCTGAGAACGTTCCTGCTGTCCCTTGGGTTAGGGATTGTTTTGCAATGATCACCTGTCCTGATTTGAAGATTGCATGACAGGACACTATTAAAGTAAGGGCAAGGAATTCAATTTCCCCATGTCATTTTCCCTGGCCTGGTTTTGAAAATAGGTCACTGTATTCTATTTGGATTTGTATATTATAACATCACCCACTAACATTTTTGTAGTGAAGGGTCTAGTCATATTTTCATTATAAATCCCTATTTTCAGAGGTTTATATACTGTAACTTGATCACAGAAAGAAGTTTCAGTCTAAATGGTGGCATGCAAGGTGTCTTCTAAAGAACATGGGTTTTACCCTGCAAATCACAACAGATACATGTTCTACCATTTCTGCCAGAGTGAAAAATGAAAATATATTTTTAGTTGCAATTTGATACTGATAGTAGATTCCCTTAGAAAAAGGTACCCTCCTATGTTTATCTTTTAATTAAAATGATACCCAAAAGAGCTGGGTTTCTCACGCAAGTCTTAATAAGAATCTGAGTAAGTATAGGTTATAAAATTGGTGACTTGGCATGTATATTTTAATTATGCAAATCCACAGTAATAAATGCCCTTATATAATGGAAGGATTTAATAGGGTCAAAAACTGGTTGTTTGAAAAGGTTGGTAAATAAATCATATGGATCTGAATGTCGAGTTTATGTTTATCTCCTCATTTAAACCGCTTTTTCACATAACGTGGAATTGTTTCTGAGGGAGCCAGCATTACTCTGTGGCCTAATATTTTAAATTGTGAATAGATTCTAGCTTACACAACTGAATCAGCACAGCTGTGCAAATGTGTGTATTTAACACTGATTAAATGCTTCCACCTATACATTAAAAAATCCAAAGAGAAGTCCTTTACTACCATACTGTAGGTTTTTGCAGAATTGCTGTGGAATAGCATTTCATCACCTACCATACCCTTCTTAATGTGTTTTATTTTTGTTTTGGTTTTTTTTTTTTTTAATAAGACCAGGAACAGCCAGCCAGCCACAGAGCAAAATGAAACTTCTTCTAAGACAAAGATAATAAAATATGTTTGAGCAACATGAAACGATAGTCTGAAGACTGCCGATGCAAGGAAATTCAGGGTTAATGCTGCGTTACTTCATTTTGAAGTCAACCCCATTGTGTCTGTTTATTGCAGGGGTCTTCAGAGAGATCTCACAAGGATGTGTCGGAGGATGCTATAGCAGCCAGTAGGCTGAGCCCAGAGCCAGACTTTCAGATGGTTGAATGTAAAACTTCCAAATATTTTTTGGAGGGGAGGGGCATCAGGGAGGGAAGAGGAGGAGGACGGTCCCGGCTAGCATCACTGGTGGTGGCTGTGCTGTGGGGTTCAAGGCAGCACAAAAGAAAAAGGCACTCTATTACCCAGGGTCCTGCCTCATTTCGCCTAGATATCAAGATTCTTAGGGATATTATTTTTACCAAGTCCTCGAAATACCCACTGATAAACCAAAATCCGCCATCCCTTGCAAAGCCAACAGTTTGCTCCTTAAATGGGTTTAGACTTCATTTTAATGGAAGTGAAACATAGTCGACGGAGGCAAATTAAAACCATATAATTTTGTAATCTTAGTTTAGCTATAATTGCGGCAATAAAACAGTGGAAAGAATAATTGGGGAACATATGTTTGTGAGTGACATTATCTAGGTGACTTCCCTTTTACGGCACTGCGCTGCTGTCCTATTTGTCTCCCCCTCCCTATGCATTGGAATGACAAACCTGCGAGCCCAGAGTTAATGCTGATTGCGGCAGCTGCTTACACATCGAGTCTCCATGGCAACCGGGGACGTTGCCACGCAACCGTATTCTTTTAGGGACAGGGAAAATGCCCAAAGGCTTACTAAAAATACATGGAAGAGGGAGAAAAAAAATCTTAAATTTTCTTACTACTGTTAATGAGTATAAGGGACTGCGCTTGTGCTTGAAAGCAGAGGTCGGACAAATAAAAACCCAGCCCTGACCTTTCCAAAATTGCCTGCCGTTGCTTGAAATCTCCAGCTTTATTGACAAAGATGACTTTTGATCGATTGTAAAATTGGTAGCTAACACGCGGCAGCCCTCGCAGCCTGCAAGATGCAGCGCCTGCCCATTGCTATTCTGGAGGGGTGGAAGGTCAGCTGAGAGCCATCAATGCCGTATTGATCAGCCGAGCTGAAAAATGCCCATGTTTCCAGCCCCTCGCACAGTGGGGCTGCGGCCCCAGCCTCCAGCACACTGTCGCCCTGGCACGCCACCGAGCGAGCCGTCCTCCCAGCAAAAGTGACATCACTTCACTCAGCTCAGCTGTTTCTGCAGTTTTCTATAAATAGCTAGATAAAAAATTGAAGGCTGCTTTTGGAGAATTTAGGCAGCCAATCTTATCATCGTCAGCAGACGAGACAGGCTGATTTTTTTTTTTCCCCCCTACTAGTATTGCACTGCAAATTCTTCGTCCTGATTTCTGGAGCTTGACACAGAATAACCAAAAATGTTGAATGGTATACATGTCTGCATTCAGGATTGTGCTGGAATGGAGACTTAATTCATCATTCATCATCCCTCTAGCTGTTAAAACGTGATCAGATAGGAGTGAGGGATGGAGGGAAGAGAAAGGGTCGGCGCTGCCACACGAGATGCGCAGACCTGGCATTATGCTGATGCGGCATGTTTGCTGAGCTCTGTATCACTCTTACTTGCAGAAATCCCCACTTGTCAGGCTCCCAGGTGCCTCCCCTGAATTAAACAAACCATGAACTGGAGTCAGAATTATACCAGGGCTCCTGTTGGCTGTAATAGTCGATACAAAGAATTAGAAGGAAGCAATCAGAAATGCAAACAAAAGTGCTGTTAATAAGCGCACTTCCTATTTTTCCTTGATTCTGGTTTTGTTACTCTATTTCTTAATTAACCCTCTAATATAGCTGATGAAAGAAAAACATCATCTGCCTGGTCTGTAAATAACCTCTTTCTTGACAGTATTTTTTTTCTGGGAACAGGAGCATTAAAAAGCTGCAAAATACAAACTGGAGTATGGAAACTGTCTCAATAAAAATGGGCATTCTGCAAGTTTTATGAAGTTTTGGAGCTTATGGCAGTTCTTTTGGAAAAGGAAAGGAAAATAAACTTGTAAACATAAATAACAGCAGGTCCAGGTGAAGAAAAGCATGTCTTCTGTAGACTCCATCTGTAGGTAGCCATCATGGTGTTGCGTACCATGCCTTTGCCATCACTGGGTTGCTTTCCAAGTAGGAAACAAGTGGGTGCTAGGGAAGCCCACAAGCCTTGCTCAGCTCTTCAGCATTCCTGAGCACAAGCCTCCATTCAGTATCACACAGGATCAAACCACAAACGTCCCCATCCTTGTTGATTTGAACAGAGAGTTGAAACTGCTTGGCAACAGAAAAGATGAAAGTACTTGTTTTTCAGAAAAGTTAATGGCACTAGAAATAGAAATCAGACAGTTTTTTGAAGGTGGGGAAGAGGGGACTAGCAGGTTTTCTCTCCCTACTGCTGTGCTGATTGTGGTGTGGTGAGTATTGCAAAGTCAAACACTATGGCATGTGTAGCATGAGGTATTAGAGCAGAAGACTATAACTCATGTCTGCCTCAAAATATGCATCTGTCCCTTAGCAAATGAAAGTGCAAATGAATTGCAAAATATATGTATAATTACCGATGTATGGGACTTTAAAATGCATTTGTTCTCTATGGAAACTGATCTATAAATGATCCTGAATGTAAAATTCAGACTCTGGTCTAGGGATGGAGATCCGTGAGGATTGTATTCTTAAATATCTTTTGAGTATTTGGGTGCACATGATCCAAAACCAAGCCACATCTGTTTATTGAAATGTTTCTGCTAGGGTTAATGGTCATAAACTAAAACACAAGAAGTTTCACCTCAACATGAGGAAAAACTTTACACTGAGAGTAGCAGAGCACTGGAACAGGCTGCCCATGGAGGTCATGGAGTCTTGCTCTCTGGAGACATTCAAACTCCACCTGGATGTGTTCCTGTGTAACTTGCCCTACGTGACCCTGCCTTGGCAAGGGGGTTGGGCTAGATGATCTCCAGAGGTCCCTTCTAACCATAACAATTATGTGATTCTGTGATTCTGTAACGTTTAGTCATTTCAAATGGTCAATACTGATGCTCTGACTTGGGAGTTGAGAGGAAGAAGGAAAACGGTAGAATGAGAGAAGTCCAATATGTCTTCTCTGTAGAATGGACAAAGTAGTATTCAACCCATTCGTTGAGTGGAATGCAAATAAAATAGGCTAGAAGAGCTTGTTGCACATCATTTGTTGCAGAGAAAACTAGTGGTTGAAAGATGGACTTTAATTTTGCCCAGATACTTGTTAAAAATTTATCTAGCTTCTAGAAGAACTACTAGAGAAGTACTGTCTTAGGAAAAAAACCCCAACCCCAAAACCAGCAACAGTTAAAATTATTTACTGGGATTGTATTTAAAGACCTGAACTCTGTTTTAAAATCAATTTATTTTTGCATATAAATGAATGTTGAAGCCTTGCTGATTTTTTCAGCAATATATTTATTTTTCAGTAAGATCCACCTTTCCTCCTTATCATTAAATCTTGCAAGACATTTTAAATAGCACTTTTCCATAAATGTACTTCTTCCACTTCGAAATAAAGCACACATAACTGCGATTTTTGGTGTTGAATCAAGTTAGTGGTCTTCCTAGTTAAAAAATCACCTGTTTGGTAAAGGCAGAATAGAGAGGTCTGAAAAGAAAGACTTTCCTACATTTCTAAGCCCAGAATCATCTTGTCTTATTAGTCAATAGAACTGGTATGTATTGGATACTGAAAAGCTGGACAACTGATTTTATTATCTGCGCCTGGTCTCAAGCCAACCCCCTTCTGGGGACAATGGTCTTGACTCTGCATTCTGTGACCTTTTCAAAATCTCATAATGAAAATATGAGTGGATTAGCCAAATTTGTGAATCACAGTCCTGTTCACTAAGTCAATAAGGCTTGCTTGCTAATTTCAATGGAAGCAGGAGCAAAACCAATGTCAGAGTGTGCTCCAGCAAAACTCCATTTGACTTCAGGTCAAGATAAAATTAATTTCCATCATCTTTATTGTCCTTTTATGTCTTTTTATGAACAGACAAACAAGAAACTTTACGTTTTCTGAATCCTTTCCCAAGAAAGGTTAGGTGAGTCTACCACTTTTATTTCTGAGCACACGAACATCATCTGTATAGAACCTCCTCTCAGTTCACTGTTGGTAGGAGTAAAAAATAACTTATAGTGTGGGTGAACATTGGTTGAGTGTTTGCTGGTATCACCAAACATGATATTTGTCTGTGGAAGAGAGGAGGAGTGCCCCAGGGAACAATTCATCAGACGACCTGAACTCATGTGCAAGAGCCTTGAAAACGCTTCTGGGCCCCATCTTTTCCCTCTCCCTCCCTGTCAAGCGTAGGCAAAGCAGTAGCCATGTAAAGAAAATGTTCAAGAAACTGTGTCCTAAAACACTGTATGACACTATCTGGAAGGAGAAGGGGATTCCTTCTGTTGTCTGTAGTCTTGTCCTCGACTTTATTCTTTGAGGATTTTTTTTCCCTGTGGTTTTCTCTTGCCACACAATTAACCAGACCTTGAAGATTTCTTCAACATTAGAGGCTGGCTGAATAGAAACAGAATGTACACACAGTGAACATCAGCAAACACAATGCTTTATTACAGGACTATTTACTAGTGGAACCATAGACAGGTTAGCCACATTATTATTACATATCTGTTTAGTATCTTACAAATAAAAAAAACAATAGTCTGTCCAAGGCTGGTTTGTTTTTTTTTTATTTTCTGAATGAGTTGAAGTCTTTCACAAAAAAATCCTTCTTTAACAGTTATATGTTTGTGTCAAAGTATCTCAGGGCACAAAGCCCAGCTGAAAGCCAACTTAAAAAAAAGTAATCTTCGTAAGCGCTTTCATGACAGCAAACCATTAAATCTCCTGAGTAATGTAGGGAAGAGCTGGATCATGCATAGATTGCTCTTTACCCAGGATGCACTGTTGCCTGCAAGACTCTGAATAAAGAGACACACCTGCTAGCTAGCTGATAACACTCTGGGGTCATTTCATTGAAGAAACTGTCAGCCAGGAGGTATTTAAATAAAGCCACAGAT